GAAATAAATAATTTCACTATCTGTTTTTTTAAGTACAAACGTTTTTATAAATTGGAATACGTTCATTTTCCGGTGAATCGTTTGAAATCGAATTAATAACATGATATAATTCTTTAATAAGAGATAAAACAAGATTTGTTTGTTTCATAGTATATTCAACATTAATTCGTTGTTGTTCATCACGCCATAAAGATATAAATGTATTAATTTCAAGTAAACTTGATGGATCTGGTGTACCATCACATTGCATAACACGTTTCCACTTTTAAAGAAAGATAAAAACATAGAAATATTTTTTTGCGAAGAAAAATTTTACTTGAAATTCTTCTCGTTGTTTTTCACGTAGATCATGCGCTTCATCTTGCCTTGGAAGAATAAATTCATAAAATTCACTTAATTCTCGACGTCTTAATTCATTGATCTATGTATTTATATATAATATTTATAAGAAGAAAAGAAAAATATTGAATACATACTTCTTTCGCTACGATAGCTCGTTCTTCAGCAAGTCGTTTTTCATTTTCAATACGTTCCTTTTCAGCAATTTCAGCACGAACTCGAGCTTCCTCTGTAATATGAACATAGAATATTAAATAAGATTGGCAGTGTGGCCGAGTGGTCTAAGGCGCTGGTTTTAGGCACCAGTCGTAAAAGGCGTGGGTTCGAATCCCACCGCTGTCAGTATATTATGAAGTAAAACGGTTTGCTTCTCTTTTTTTTTCCTCTTTCCTACTTTCTTTTTTTTTTTTATATATGATCCTAACAGTAAAGATATTTCGACATATTCATATACGATCAACTATAGAAGAAGTTTGAAGTTTCATTTCTTTAACAAGATAGAAAAAAAAAATAGGCTACAGACAAATATTAACCTCACGTTTAGCAAGTATTTAGTTTATAATATATAATATAAAACCTAGACATCGACTGACAGTGGCACGCTAAGGTCATTTTAAAGAATCTATTAGCCTATCGTTTAATACTTGTGGAAAAAAAAAAGAAATGTATCCCTGAAAAGTCCCAAGAGAAACTAAACAGTTGTTTCTTCTAGATGATATCGATGAAGGAATATTATACATTATTAGACCTTGTTAGAATTCTATTTGTACTCAAGACATATCGGCAATGATGTCGAATAGTTAAGGTCTTTATTTTCTCTGTAATATTTTTATTTAAAATGTAATTGTCATGAAGTTACAAAAATAATACATTTCTTAATGTGTCTATTCATATTTCTATAATAAAATGAAAAAATTTATACCCGAATTTTTTTCAATAATTTTCTTAGATTTGTTATGTGGTTAGATTGAAAATAAAATAAATGAATTTCAGTAAGTAATTACCTTCTTCTCGCAGTCTTCGTGCTTCTTCTTCTCGCTTTTTTTTTGCTTTTCCAGTTTTGTTTGTAGTTGCAGCTGATTTCTAAATAATTTCGAAAAAAAATTATCGTTTTATATTCAAGAAAATATTTTATTAATAAAAGCAAAATTAGATAATTGAATGGCATACACTAGTTTTCTTTTTTTTGTTTTGGTACTTTTGTAGTACGTTTTTTACGCGAATTTAGTTTTTTCATCTTGGCATTATTTGTTACTGATAAATCAAATGGATTAATAGATGTATTGATTACTAATGATTGACTATTCATTGTTTTGTCTTTTATCTATATTAACATCTAACTGTTCATTTTGTCTTTCATTATAGATCGCATCATCATTTACTATTTTATGTGATTATGTTCTAACAGGTCCCATACAGGAAAATATATATCATACGTAGATAAGAATACTATTTTTCTAATTAATATTAATAAAATTTATTTACTTACTTGAGTATTAGACATTGATAAATTCTTTATTTTAAAGTTAGAAATGAAATTTCACATGTGTAAGTTTTCATTATATAGTCTGTTGTCATGTCAACGATCTTTATCACTGACCTCTCCTATATTTCTATTGGTTAATATATACATAAATTGAATTATTGATGTATGAGTCATTATGTGATTGTAGTATTTTTGTTAGAGTTAGACTATCATATGTAATATAAGACATCGATATTCAATGCTCTCTAGATAACAACAAGTAAATCCAATTCCACATATTTTATCAAAGCTGGCATCGATTATATAAACAACGAAATCATTGATAGAAAAAAAGAAAGTGAAAAAGAAAAGCGATGGGGAATATGTTTGGTTCGATCTTTGGAAAGAAGCATTATCGAATATTGATGCTTGGTCTCGGTAAGAAAATAATTAAAAATAAATCTAATTAATATATATATTCTTTATTTATATTAAGATAATGCTGGAAAAACATCTATTCTTTATCGTCTTCGTCATAAAGAAACTATTACAACGATACCTACGGTTGGATTTAATGTTGAAACTGTTTTATTAGGACATGTGAAATTCAATGTATGGGATGTCGGTGGACAGGTAATTAAAATAAAAAATATTATTCAATAGATTTCAAGAAATAATTCAACAATAAAACTTATTTTCTTATGTCCCTAAAATAATTGAATTAGTCATTATTTTCGTATTCTCGTCATGATTACATATGCATAAATATATCTATGTGCATATATTTGTTATGATCGATACGACGCAAATCGGGTCGAGAAAATAACTTTTAGCTATTCATTGGGCATTGATGTATGAAGAAAAACAAATATCATGAAAACACCTGGATTTGATTTTAAATTTCGTGACTAATTTGGTTAAAGAAAAATACACCCTTCCTAGATATTCTATTTCAGTTCAATTATAAAATCTATGATTTTAGCTCATATATTATTTTTCTTTAGGATAAAATTCGTCCATTATGGCGACATTATTACACTGGATCTCAAGGTCTTATTTTTGTTGTTGATTCATGTGATCGTGAACGTATGGAAGAAGCAAGTCATGAATTAGATAAAATTATAAATGATCGTGAAATGCGCAATACTGTTCTTCTTGTTTTTTGCAATAAACAAGATATGCAAGGTTGTATGCAACCAGCTGAAATACGGCAAGCATTACATCTAGATAAATTATCACGTCCATATGCTATTATGCCATGTTCAGCTTTGCAGGGAACTGGTCTTCCAGAAGGTCTCAAATGGCTATCTGAACATTGTAAATAAAAATAAAAATAATAGCAGAATGTCTGTATTTGTGTGCAGTGATGGTGAATTGACGGCATTTTCTGTTATTGTTGTTGTTTATCTCTCCTTTTTTTTATACATATTAAACTGATGCGTTATTAGTGTGTGCGCGTGTGTGTGTATATGAAGAGTCACTGTTTTCTTTTTTTTTGATAATAAGATAGTTAAAAAAAAAAGAACAAACATAAAACAAAGATATACATTGAATGATTTCTTTAGAGAAAAAAAAATAATGTTTAAATCTTCATTTTTATTTCGTCATTTATCATTACAATCGAAACGTTATATTCATTTAACAAATCCATCATTAACAGCAGGACAAACACAATATCATGGTCAACAAAATTCAACATGGTGGGATAAATATGGTTCACATGTGGATCCAATTCAATCACGTGTAGATTTATTGAATATGGATGATTTAGATGAACGACATTTTCGTCCTGTTAAACCAGTTATTCCAACTTATCAATCATTTTCTTGTTTTCATGATCCAATTGTATCTCGTGTTATAGGAATTTTATTACGTGAAGGTGATCGTGAATTAGTTGAAGAATTGATGCATAAAACATTTCGAACAATTAAATTAATACAAATTGGAAAATGGACACGAGCAAAAACAGATGACGAACGTTCTTTAATTGAATGTAATCCTGTTAATTTACTTAAACAAGCAATTAAAAATGCAACACCTATTGTTCGTAAGTTAAATAACTAGAAAAAATAAAAAAAGATTTTTTTATTGAATTATTTTTTTTTATAAAGGTCTTACTCGAATTGCTAAAGGTGGTACTTTATATTCAGTACCTATTCCAATGTCACCAGTTCGTGGGACGTATACAGCTATTCGTTTATTAATTGATAGTACACATGATGCTCGTCCACATGATCAACGATTTTGGACATTATTTGCTAAAGAAATAATGGATGCTGCGCAAAATCAAGGGCGTACAATAAAGAAAAAACAAGAAATACATCGAAATGCGGAATTAAATCGCGCATACGCACATTTCAAATGGCAAAAATAAGAAATATGTTTATCGTTTGTTGTTTTTTTTTTGTTGTTTTGTATGAAGGTGAATAAAAATTAGACTGTAAAATACCCGGACTGTTTACTTACTTACTTAGTAGCAATAAGAAAGTACTGCAAAAACGTGATCAATGACGCAACTACTATCTATTTTTAAAAGGGGAGATTCTATTGTATTCATCGAAAAAAATAGGAATGACGTGGCAATCGATTCGCGTCACGGTTGGTATATTCCGAGGTATAAAAAGGGGTATCTTTTGTCGTTATTCAAACATTATTATACATTATACTTCAAACGTCAATACAAATATAAAACAAGTGAGTTTGAATACATTTTATAAATATATATGCAATAGCTGATCATCTATATTTTTTAAGAAATGAGCAGTATTATCAATAAATTATTGGGTAAAGATCATGATGATCATCACAAAAAGGAAACCAAAGTTGAAACTGAAACATCTCAGAAAACTGAAACATGTAATAAATCTGGTGGTACATGTACTAAAACTGAAACCAAATGTGAAGGTGGAACATGTGCAACATCAACAATTGGTGGTGAAAAATGTGGACAAAAAGCTGAATGTGCAAGTATCAGCTCAAATAATCGTACAGGTGGTCAAAATACTGAATCCCATTCAGTTCAACGTGATGGTGTAAATATTAAATCAACAGTCCACACAGAAGGTACCTCAACAGTATCAATGGCTAATCAACAAAAACTTACAGATCTTGTTTCAAAATTAGGTTAGTTGAATATTCAACAATTAATAAATATTTCTATGGATATTTTTTTTCCTCTAGGATCAACACATGCACAAATTGATGAATATGCTAGAAATCAAACTGAAAAAATTAACGAACAAATTCAACGTGAAATCGATGAAGTTGTTGGCCGCATACGTCGTGAACAAGATGACCTTCTCCGTAAAGCTAATGAACAAACTGCTGAAATCGATAATGAATATCGTGCCCGTTTACAATTAATGGTAGAAGAAATTGATGCCGCTAAAGCAAAACGAATTGCTGACATTGAAGCTTCTTTGAATAACCAACAAGCTGCTATTCTTCAATCAGCTAGAAATGAAATTGATGAATTAAACAAGAAAGCTGCTAAACTCAAAATTGGTGTTTTAGAAGCCGCTGAAGCTAAATCAGCGCAAGATGCACGTGAAATCACTGCTCATGCAGATTTAGGCAAAGCAGCAACTATTCATCAACAATCAGGAACAACAACAATTAAAACTGATGTAGTAGGAGCAGCAGAAACTGAAACAGCTGGTAGCGCTACTGTAACAACTGTTGGCGCCAAAACTGTTAGTGAACAACACAAAGTAGTTGAAGCTAGCGCCAGCCAATCACGTAAATAATATCAAAATATAAACCTCATCAAACAAAACAATAATAAAAAATTTTTATATATAATATATCCAAGCAGTTGTAGTTAACTTTTTCTTATTTTTTTCTCTTTCGAATAAATATGATACAGTCACATGTACTTTAACAATTGCCATATAAATAATCTATTGTTATTCATAATATCAAGCTACAAAATAATTCGTTACATTTTCAGATAAAATTGTATATTTATACTTTCTGATAAATAAATAATCTCAATAGAGTTAATATATTAAAGTTTTATTCGAAAATAATAAAAAAAATGCAGTACACATTTGGTTTAATTGTACCAGGTGCGATAATTACTTCAATTTTAAATTCGACTCCTATTATTCGTCTTTGTGGTAGTCTACCTGAATTAGGTTCATGGTCTATAGATAAAGCACCACAACTTAATCTTCTTACGAAAGAACTTTATCGTCCTATACATTTATCTAATGAACCACGTTTTTATCGACTTGATATAAATATATCGAAAGATGTGAAAGAATTTGATTATAAATATGTTATTAACGATGTTATGTGGGAAGGCAAACGACAAGAGAATCGTGTATGGTTCAGAGATGATTGTAAAAATTTGGTTGATGGAATTTATTATACACCAATTGATTATTGGATTGATGTTGACACAGGGGGTATGAAGAAAATAATTTTCTCTCATATAAATTTTTTTTTTTACAAAAAAAAAAATCATTTTCTATTTAGCAACGGATGAAAAAACTCATACATCAAATTTTTATAATGAAATAGTTCGAAATCAAATTATGCATTATGGTCGTGTTAATGACAAATTGTATGTTGGAGGTTGCCCTCGTACATTAGAACACATTGAAAATGTATTAAAGAAAGAATTAAATGTAACAGCTGTTCTTAATTTACAAGTTGTTAAAGATATTGAACGAAATTGTAAAAAAATTCTTGGTGATGATCACGTGCCAGAACCAAATAATGAATATGATTTAGCAAGTGTTGATATATTAAGAAAAGCTTATGAACAAGCAGGAATTTTATTTTTATGGGTACCAATAACTGATTTATCATCGACAGGAAGAGAATTAATGTCACCACAAGCTACATTGGTATTAAAAACAGTCTTAGAAAAAGGACATAAAGTTTATGTTCATTGTAATGCAGGTAAATTTTTGAATAATATATTTTTTCATTTGACCTTTTATCCAAGGCTAAATAAAAAATTTTTTTGTTATTTTAGGTGTTGGACGAGCATTTGGTATTGTTTGTGCATATCATCATTTTGTTTTGAAGAC